AAGGTTCCGAAAGAACTTGGAATCCTAGCTGAAGGAAAGCAGCAAGCGAACGGGTGGCTACCTCTCGGATAGGCGAGGTTGTGTGCTGAGTTGCAAGATATCTGAGAAAGTATCATCAAAAAATTTTCACAGGAATACAAGTAAAGTGTCGGAAAAATTATGTGCCAACCTAATATTTCTTTTCCTATTTTTTGAATCTTTTCAAATATACATACTGGCGACTTTCATAACACGTCTGGTACATTACAATCACTCTCAATAGCGAAGAACTCTAGAATGAACACTTCGGACGCACTAGCAAAACCGAGTTTCATTAGCAAGCCGGGAATATTTTTCGAAAAATCATTCATTCAGAGCGGACTGGTTGCTTGGCCCACTGAGAAACTGGATTCATTCCCAGAAGAACTGCCAGAAGTGAAGTCAGGTCAGTCATTCACAGTTATTGATCGAACAAAGCAAAATAATAACAAGAGACAACAGGGCAAACGCTCTGTCACTACGTTTTATACAGCAGCTAAAAAAATAGAAAAAGTTTGAGTAGCACCAAAAACCCGGACAACCGAGTTGTAAACTAATTTATTGCCAACAAAAATCACAGCGTATCACCCCAGTGTAAACTCCCAAATAAACCGCCTATAACGGTTGTAACTTTTTGTGGTTGCAGAAAACCGTGAACTATTTCTTTGCTCACGCAAACCATATACTAGTACATGTGGGACTTTCTTGGTTTTGATTTGTCCAAAGCGCTCAAAAGTAGGAACTGCGAAAGATTAAAGTTCTAAAAACTAGTATCTAAGGATTGCTTGGAATGCGCCACACCTTTGGCTTCCATTCAGAATCGTGCTGGCATTTGAATGCGACATGGCCATTACCATTACTTGCGGGGCAAAGTGTGCAGTTCTAATACAATATTTGCGGGGCAAGGTGTATACAGTTCTGCGTTCGTATCTTACCGGACTCATCTGGTATATAGTTAACCGGAAAGAAGGAAAGACTCGTTAATTAGAGCTGGTTCCGATTTGAGATATACTGCTGTACCATGCGCATGTGCTGCTAGACCACCTCTGCCCGAAATACAGTAGTAGACGAGAGGAAAACAATGATTTCGTGTAATTATTGCAACTACTGAACAAGGACTTCCAGAGCTATACTACTACTTGCTACCATTCACAGTCTACACAAGGGCGGCTTAGCTCCAAGTTCTAATGAAAGATCTCATTGCCCCCACATGTCAACAAGCTGCGGCAATGATACGTTGCAGAAAGGGCTCATCCCAAAAATGGGTCCCTTTCCTTTAGAACAAACCGAAAAAGTTCCTTTTCTTCAAAGGCGACTCACTCTTGCTTGCTCCATGTTCAAAACTAATCATATGAAAGTTTCCCATATGAAAGAAGTATTAGTACCCAACGACGTCACTGCGAACGAGCATCGCTAAAGATGACTGGCCACCTAAAACCTACTAGTATCTATAGTTTATCGGACGGTCATTGTTCTAATAAAGTGATTCCCCTCCAATTGACTTTAAAACAACTACATACAACAATTTTTAGAAAAGGACGTAACAATTCGAGTGGACAAAGTAGCGGAAAGGAATGTGAAAGAAGAAGAGCTGGCTGCAATGAAATCCTCCCCAGAAGGAAGGCCTAAAAACCCCTTCCGACGAACAGGTTGAGGAGAGCTGTTCCCCATCTCACTATCAATAACGTACCTGGGGCAGTAAGAAGTCTCACTCACTTTGACTTCCTATTGGAAATCAACTTTTCAAATAAAATAAGAATTATTTTTTTTTTTGATGGCCCATATTCAGGCGCATGCCATTGACAACTGAGAAAAACTGCACCATAATTCGAACAATGAATACATGAAAAGGCAATGGGGCAACGCCTTTGTTTCAGAAAAGCAAACATAGCTTAGCTTTTAATTTCTTTGTAGATATAAGAAAAAATTCGATAACAAAAATAATAACAACCCTTCAGATACACATTTTTCAATGTTTACAACAACACATTTTGTCTATACTTCAAACATCATAAACAAAAGATCAGAACCTCGTCAACACGTAGTAAATAATTTACATCAACAACAAAAAAACACTTACAACCATAGCGCATGAATTTCGGAGGTTTTTCGACGAAGTGCGCCCACTGGCACCCTGATCTTGCCCCCAGAGTAAATTACTGTACAAGGAATATGGAAGTTTACGAAATCACCTGATCTACGTTTCGTAGTGTAATTCACTACATACCATTATTATTTAATGTTTAATGAAAAAAGGTGCGCTGGTCTACAGAATCGCACCTAGTATCCGCAGAATTCTAACGTGGGCTCCATTCGCGAATCCTTTCCTGAGAGACTTCTTTCCTGCGGCCACAGATCAAAATCAAAAAGGGAGGCTAGAGGTGGGTTAGTGCACTTTGGGAAAACATGGGATCTGAAAAAAAACGCTTTTAAAAAGCGTAGCGGGATACGAGCAAATGAACAAAAAAAGTCATGAGCTTTCATACGCGCAACCGTTCCGAACCAAAACGTCGCGCGTTAAAAGTCGTCGCTGCCTGTAAGGAAAGCGGGAACCGTTGGCGAATGGACGAAGACACGAGTGGCGGCAGTATGACCTAAAAATACAACGTGGTATATAACTTGATAAAATGAACCGATAGAATACTTACCCAAAGCTAACAGCCTTTCCGTCCGAATTCGGCATCCCACGAGCACAAACTCCAATTGCTGCGTCGGGCAACAATTACTACAATTATTAATACAACAAAGCACACAACTTCAACCCTTCACTTCTTTCGGTTAGTAGTGTTCAATTCGAGGCAGAACAAAGCAACACATAGAAAGAAAAATACCATAGTCTTCGTTGTGATTGAACGTGGCTTTCACGGGAAATTCTTGTCTACCGGTGGCGCCCGCTCCAGTATAAGCAATCAGGCAGCGGTTCGTAGAGAGCTCCCATAACTTGACAATGCTATCCATTCCACTTGTCAATATGTACTGAAAATAACATGTTGAACTATAGAAAATATCACAAAAGTGCCACACTACATAAACCTCATCCTTTCGATGAGCGAATAGTAAAGTTTTACACTGTTGAGAATTCCCACCTTGCCATTTCTTGTAAATTTAGCAGAGCAAATAGCGGCTCCGTCATGAGCTCGGCTGAACGTTTCTACGCATCTATTTGAGATCCCGTCCCACACCTTGACATCACCGTCTTTCGAACCAGTAACGTAAAGTCGTGCATTGTCCGAGTAGTTAACCTGAAGGCGTCTCATATGAGCATGTCACTTCGACAGTCAACGAAGTAAATTACAAAAAAAAGTGAATCAATAGGGAAGTACCTAATATGGAAGGTGGCGCTGCTTACCACGAGCACGGCCAAACACTAACCTGGGACCGTACCTAGCTAACCAATTGAGAGATGAAAAGCATAGCCTACCAATTAATGATACCAGACTTTTGGGAGGACAAAACGTCAACTTTTACATCATTTGCCCCTCTTCCTCTACCAGGTTCCGTAGAAGTCAAATCGCATCCAAAATGCCATCACGATTCTGAAGGAAGTATTAGGTTGTCCAGAAAGTAATGCGAGTTCTGATGTGCCATACTTTGTTAGACATTTTCTCGGAAAGTTTTCTTTGAGAGCTGCGTTGCTGCATATTGTTGGCAAGCCCATATTACTCTCTTTCTTATACTGCTATTGAATTTGAAGTAACTCGGCTCTTTTCAAAGGTGAATGGAAGGATCAGTTAAGTGTACGACGGCCAGCAGCATAACCTTGAGCAAGCATACTGAAATTTTCGGAGCGCCTGAAGGTACTTGGGAAGGTAAGAAAGCTGGACAAGTGGGTACCGCATGAACTGACTGAGCAGCAGCAAAGTCACCTTGCAGGGATCTGGTCACAACTCGTTTTACTCAACAAAATGTCCGACTTCAGGAACATTCGTCATCCTCGACAAAAATTGGATCCTTTGCAACAGAATCTAGCAATTCTTTCAACATCTAGACAGCGAAGAACATCTCAAAACTTTTTCCAAAGTAGAAATCTAACAAGAGGAGGCCTACGCACCTGTTTCGTGATCACCCACAGTGATGGTACATAGCACCCGAAACCAGGTGAACTTAATACAGCACCAATGTCTGTCATCATACCGAAGTTATGCACCGAAACAGCAAGTTATATAATCAAGAGAGAGAAGAATTGTCCTGCATTTTAACACTAAAAGCCACTCCAATTTTTCAGTCATCTCGACAGCTTCTTGGGCAGGAAAGTATTTGAAAACCGAGAC